GGAGCGCTCGGGCCACGGCGCTCGCCCGGCCGCTCGCCCTGCCTGCAACGTCGGGGAAACATTTTTGCTTTGTACTGTAATGGAATTAGAGGACAGATGCTGCCTGTAAATGGGACACGCGACTACCAGCCCCTAGCTTAAATATTTAGATGCAATGTTACAATTACTGACTTGATGCACGGGCTTTGAAGTGGTGGCGCATGATCCGGAGGGAAGCTGGGGCTGGCCGGGCTGGCAGATGTTTTGATTAGGGTTGGTCAGTACCATGCAGCCAGTTATTTTTAGGCTGTTAAACTAATAAAGGGAGTTTATTAAGGGAAAGGATTAGCAGGCAGACACCAGATATCTGCTTGAGCCCTCCCGTTCATTCCTGCGCCGTGGCCATGGCGCTGGGAGCATGGGACGAGGCTGGATTTAGCTGTGACTTCTCTGATCTGGGGCTCACTGGGATTTTGCTCTGGGAGTAGCAGACTTGCTCACGGCACAAAGTACAGGGGTTTATGCTAGGAAGTGCTGCACATTTCCCTGCTCAAAGGAAAGCAGCAGACAGGCACTGAGGGACCAAACGTGACGGCTGTGGCTGCAGGCGGTTGTCTCCAGAGCCTGGAGTTTCTTACGGCACTTCAGATATTTGGTCACTAGCAGGTCTAGGAGATCGGCTTGTGTAATTTTGATGGGATTTCATTTTCGAGTCTCTTGGAGCCAACAGGAAAATAGTGTTTAATTAAGAAATACTCCCTCATGGCTTCAGAATTTGGCTCAGGGCAGATAGTATTGGTAGCATTTCTGCCTTTTTTTTTTCTTTTCTTTTCTTCCTCCGCTTTGCAGCAGCACGTGAGAGTTTGGTCATGGACTGGGAAAGCCTTTGTGCGAGATGCTGTACAAATGTAAATCCATAGGCTGGACGGTAGCTCCAGGAACCTTGCTGCTTCTGACTGAGCATGTCCATCATTGTGGGGCTGTGGACCATGCTCAGGGTCTCAGCCCTTATTCTAGCTAATAATGCTAATTAATGGTGCAGTAATTGGGAACTTGTGAACTGGCAAGAGCTCTGCCACAGCTGGGGAGCTATTTCAGAAAGGTGCCACGACTCCGGTTTTACACGTCTCTGCAGAGTTTGCTGCTCCAGGTCTCCCAGGAGCAGCCTGTGCACTGCTTTCCTGAAGGCACGTTGACTTCTGAGGCAAATACTCAGTTTTAAACATACTATATGTATGCGTGTGTATAGTTATACATAACTACACACTAATAGCGTTATGTAAGCAATAACAATACAGCTGTGGGAAGAAAGAATTACTCATTTTAGGAAGACTTCTCTGAAGTAATATGTTGCTGCATCATATCCTATTTTCGAAATCATGATTTCATTAATTGTTTTGTATGTTTTGTTGTCTCAAGAACTCTTTAATTTAAAGGAGACGGCACTGATGCAAACAGAATCCCTGTGGATGTTACTTCCCATGCTTCCAAGTCTGTGTATCTAGCCCAGACACAGAAGTTATTTTAGCGAATATCAGGGTCACTTCACACACATCTGTTCGCTTAGCTGGATTTCTGTTCAAGTTTGTGTCTCCTTGCATTGCTCTGGAAATCTGGAGCAGAATCTGGGAGGCGCAGGGAGCCGCGAGCAGCTGCGCTCCTGGGCACCGCATCCCTCTCCGCTAGCAGCAACCGAGCAGCAAAACCCTGCAAAGGGCAAGTGAAGTGTGTGCGGGGGGAACGCTGCGCGCCGCAGACGGGTTTCAGTTCAAGGGGATGGAAATCCATGCCGAAAGTGAAAGTCGACACTGGCGAAATCCTTGCTTTTATCTTAAATGCTACTTGGGGAAGGTTTAGCTTTGTATTAGGTTTGCTTATTGATAAGGGCTGGAAGGGGGTTTAGGAGCGGCAAGCCAATAAAGTTGATAGTGATAAATTATCACGAGTCCCCAGGGCTATGTAATAAAACTGCATGGGGAAATGAAGCAGAACTACAAAGTGCTCCCTGGTTAATTTAAGAAGAAATTGAGTGAAACGCAAAGCAATAAATCAGAGCAGTCTAGTCAATGTGAATCTCTCCATGTAAATGTCACTTTAAATCCCACCTAAGAAACGTA